GTTAGCTGTCATGTAGGTGTGCCGAATTGAAACTGGGTCCTCTGCAAGAGGAACCAGTGCTCTTAACCGCTGAGCCATCTCTGGGCCCTGTTTCTATATCTTTTAATAATGCATATTTTGTATTCTGATATCTGTGCTCTCCGAATACATGTCTAATCTATTTTATCTTTAATCATTCATTCCTTCATATTTTTGCCTAATTCACTCAGTAATGATAACCTCTTATAATTTGTAGTGTGATTATTCAAAAATGGAATAAACTCAAGTTTCATCCTGTTAAAAAAAAACTCAATAAATTATATGTTAAGAAAAAAAATAACATTTTTATTAATTCAAGAATTTCATTATATATATGTATGTATATATGTATGTATACCCAAGCCTTCGGAGTCCAGTTTGTGTTCTTTAAATACTCTTGATTGTGTGTGAGTGTGTGTGTGTGCGCGTGTGTGCGTGCGCGTGCATGTATGCTTCTGAGGATCGAACCCAGGGCCTCATGCACATAAGGCATATAGTCAATTAACTGAACTACATCTCTAGCCCTAGATTTCCTTTAATAGGAGACATTTTATTATTGGGTCAATGTCCATACATGTTCTTTTCCTTCATGGTTAGACTGTTGGTATCAAAAAATTAATTCTTGGTTATCCATTTTGTTGACGTAGTCTTCTGTCTTATTGTCTTATCTCTCTCTCTCTCTATCTACAGGGTTTCAGTGTATTCCAGGCTGGCCTTTAACTTGATAATGTAGCTGAAGATGACCTTTAAGTTCTGATATTCCTGCCTCCACCTCTCAATTATTGGACTTACAGACATGTGGCACCAAGTTCACTTTATGTGATTCTGGGAATACCACCCAAGGGTTCATGTGTGCGATACAACCATTCTACCAGCCAGCCAAATTACATCCTCAGTCCTCCATTATTTATTCTGTTTTTTTTATGATGAAATTGATTACTGTTCATATTTATGACTTAAAAATATATGTCCTGATTTTCTTTGAAACTTTTAGGACTACTTTAGCCTCTGACCTCGGAAACTTTATTGTTATATGTAGTGCCAGTGATCTTTCTTCATTTTTCTGGCTACTTCTTGGTCCCTTTCAATTTCACTGGGTATCAGTGCTAGAATTTTTATTGTCATCATTTCTTTTCTACTCATCTCTGGGTATCTTGTTGTTTAGATGTTGGCTTTCCTAGATTCATCATCTGATTTTCTTATTCTTCTTAGCCGGTGGTGGCGCACGCCTGTAGTCCCAGCACTTGGGAGGCAGAGGCAGGCAGATCTCTGTGAGTTCAAGGCCAGCCTGGTCTACATGGTCAGTTCCAGGACAGCTGGGACTACAGGGAGACCCTGCTTCAAAAAGACAAAAAAAAATTAGCTTTTTAAATATTTTAGGTGTGAGTATATTGCCTGCATGTATGTAAGTGTACTGGTGTCATGCAGTGCCCTTGGAGGTCATATAAGAGGGCATCGGATCCCCTGGAACTGGAGTTAAAATTGTTAGCTAGAGTTATGGACAATTGTTAGCCATCGTGGGTGCTGGGAACTGAACCTAGGTCCTCTGCAAGAGCATCCAATGCTCTTAACTGCTGAGCTATCTAATCTGTGAGCTCAACTAAATTCTGTTTGTTCTGCTTTTTGTTTTAGTTTAAAAATTTAAAATATAGTAAAATCGTGGGTTTTTTTTTTTTTGTCTTTTTGGGAAAAATTCATTTTTGAGATAGGATTTGTAGCCCTGGCTGTCCCATTTTTAAAGAGTATAATTGAATAATTTTTAGTGCGTACAGTGAATTGTGCAAACCATTGTGAAAATTTAAGATTTTTGTCATTTCATTGTGCTTGCTGTCAAAGCCTATTCTCACCACAGCCCCAAGTACTACTAACCTGATTTCTATCTCTGAATTTACCTTGTTGGCATATTTTATATAAATACATCTTCTTTTTCTTCTTCTTCTTCTTTTTTTTTTTTTTTTTTTTTTTTGTATATGGCTTCTTTTATTTAGGGCCAGTTTCTCCATAGCTATCCCAATAGCTATCTCAATAAGTGTGTAATGATGTTTCCTTGTGGTTTTAATTTGCATTTTCCTAATGGCTAATGATGCCTTTTTTTAATCTTTTAAAAAATTTATTTTAAGACAGGGTCTCTAGCCAGGCTGGCCTGAAGCTCTCTGTGTAGCAGAGGATGACCTGAACTCCAGATCTTTCTACTTCTACCTCCTGTGTCTCAGTGCTTCCTGCATATGAGACAAGCACTCTACCAACTGAACTATATTACCAGGCCCCATTCTTTATATTTAGTAAAACATACTCAAGTATCATGCCCATTTTAAAATCTGGGCTTTTTGTTGTTGTTTGTTTCAAACTCATTGTATAGCAGAGGGTGGCTGTAAACTTCTGATTCTGCTGCCTCTACTTCCTGAGTGCTGAGATCACAAGTAGGTGCCACCATGCCAGGTTTTTGTATGTCTGTAGATTGAACTCTGGGCCTCTTCCACTCTAGGCAAGCATTCTGTTAAGCTATATGCCAATCCCAACTTTCAGTAATAATTGATATATTTTCTCCCAGTTTGTGTCTTGTATTGCCACTTTCCTATTATTTGCAGAACAAAATTTTATTTTCTTAAAGCTCAATTTTTTATATTTTAACAACTGCCTAATCTAACTCTGGAAGGTTTTCTCCTAAAACCGTTTTTTTTTGTTTGTTTGTTTTGATTTTATGCTTTGGTATTTGAATATTCGTTTCTAGTTCAAAAATTAGAATACGTAATACAAAAGGACACCAAGAGACGCTTCCTTACAGCCTTTCTCTTGTTGCCTTCACTTTTCTTGGGAGCCAGCTGTCAGTAGGAGAAATACAAAAGGCTTTATTTTACATTTAGATCTGGTCTGTATTGAATTAGTTACTTATATAAGGTGTGAGATGCAGGTCTACACTTTATTTTTGTATTATGAATGGTCCTGTGGATATAACTGATCTATTACGTTTTTTCCTTTGTCAAAAAGAAATTGAGTGTACTTATATCTGTCTATGGCTGGCTACTCGTGTGTAGTACCTTTCTCTTACAGTCTTCATGTTACCTGATTTTCTGATCTTTGTTTCCAACTTTCTCATTTTCTGATTTTCTTCCTGGCCCTAGTTAGTTTCCCTTCTTCCACTCCCTTTCTCAAAATGAAGTATGTGAATTGTATTAATTGATGTTTCCTACACTTGTTTAGTTTAAAATGTAACAGGTGTAGAATGTTTTTTTTTTCTTTTCCTGTAGAATATGACAAATGAACTAACTTTTAAATTGTAGCGTTTAATTAGCTTTTCTCAGTGAAGTAGTGATCTTAAAGATTGTAATCTCTGTAAGCAAACGATGTAGTTCAAAACTTTTACAAAAGGCATTGCTTCTCCTGTTTAAAAAAGAAACTAGTTAAGTAGTTTTAAATTGTCATGCTCAGGAAAATCAAGATTTTGTTCTCTTCTACCATGCTTTTATTTCATTCTTAAATTACAAGTGATGGTTAATGGTTTTTGTGTAGATAGCAGTCATGATTACTGTTGATACACACATACAAGAAAAATAATTCCCCTGAACCTGCTTTACATTGAAACTTATCCAAAATCAGCTTTTTTTTAAATTTAGAGAATAGTTTCTTAGTTTCTGTGATCAAACTTATGTAGATAAGACCTCACATAGTTGATACAGTGTGTTACTCCTGTTCAGATGACAAAAATTATTTTAACATTTTTAGACCAGTATGAAAAGCAAGCTTTTGACTTACTAATTCATTTACTTATTTGACATGCTGGGGTTGAACCCAGTGTACAAGATAAGTGCTCTGTCACTGAACAGCATACCCCTAGCCCTGAAATTATTTTTAACACTTAAAAAGGGTTAGAAAAGGATTGTATTTTTCATCAAATAAAAATAAGATACGTGGTAGTTGAATGAAATAATAGAAGTGATACTTTTCTCTAGATCCAGAGTAATTTTTTCTGGAAAAGTACCCTACAAGTTTAAAGCACACACCTGTCCAACACGTCTTATAGTGTGTTACAGTGTTTTAACTGTACATTTCTAGAAAGTGGGTGGGTAAGAAATTTTCATGCAGTTTCCATTGTTGCCACTTTTCCTAAAATATTTTATTATTTTTATGTGTATGAGTGTATTGCTTGCATGGGTGTAAGTGCACACGTGTTGTGCAGTGCCCATGGAGGTCAGAGGAGGCCATCTGATTCCTCTGGAACTGGAGTTAAGGATGATTGTTAGCTGCCATGTGGGTGCTGGGAATTGAACCCTGATACTCTGTAAGATCAGCCGGTGCTCTTAATCTCTCAGCCATCTCTTCAGCCTCCTTGTTGCCACTTTTAAGAAATACTATTTGCATTTCGTCTTGCTATTAGTGCTATGCAGTAACTTGGAAGACATTCCTGAAAAATGATATCAGGATCTCCCAGCATAGTTAATATTTAATGGATCAAGTTTCTGTAGTACTAGTATTTTTATCTATAATTAAATGAGTTTACTTCATTCTTGAAATAGCCAGACAATTGTTTGGCGATTTTTACTTTGCTTGAATTGCAACCTCTGTCCTTACAGATAAAGGGAGGTTCCCGCCTCCTTAAAAAAAAAAAAATGTTATTAATACAAAAGCTGATTAGTTGCCCCTCCCCCCCCCCCATTTTCCTGAATTTCTAAGGGCACAGGTAATTTGGGTAAAAGCTAGTTAGAAATAACGGGAGACTTCATAAAGCTTAATTTGGACTCGGCTTCATCTCAACATGTGAGTCTTATTGTTATCTTGGCAGCCTCGTGCAGCAGTTGCCCTGAGTTCAGAGGCAGATTAAGTTTCTTTTTAGAATGCCAGAGCTCAGCTGCTTAATCATACTTTCTCAACCAGGTGCTGATTGTGGCGTCCCACCTTTCCTCTAGTATGCACCCTCCCTCCCGTGTCTCAAGTTTCCTATTCTTTGGAGCACTGGCTCTTCTTTTTTTGTTTTTTTTCCACAGGGTCCTGTCCTGCCCTGTCCTGGGCCAGCCAGCCCCTTGCTTCTCCTGCTTCTGAGACGTGCCAAGATTCTGCAACCCTGCTTCAACTGCCTTGTGCCTAGACCTTGAGCTGCTTTCTGGATATCCGCCACACAAGTGCAAGCACTTGTCGCCACTGCCTGTTCCTCCGTGCCCTGTGTTTTCCTATTTTCCATACCTCTGTTCCTTCTTTCTCCCTACCCCATGCACAATGCATAAAGGATGGAAAAAGTACTGCGGCCAGAAGTCTTTGAATGAGGCATCAATGGATGAATATTTAGGCAGTTTAGGGTTGTTTCGAAAGCTGATTGCCAAGGATGCCTCTTGCCTCTTTCGAGCAATTTCTGAGCAGGTAAAAATAAATGTCTTGCCTATGTTGAGTTTTCAGAGTTGAGATGTGGTGTGGTCCAGTAGCAAAATCTGTAGCTTACTGAAAGAAAAATTATCTTTTCTGTTTCTCAATGAAAATAAAGCACAGACAGTGAAATGCTGTGTGCCACTGCTAATCAGAGCAAATGTGCTGCTATAATGGGGCTTTTTGTTTTGTAATGCCAATTTGTAATACAGGAGGGATAAGTTAACATGGGACTAAAGAAAGCTTTGAAATGAATCTCAGTCCTTTGTAGGAATCCCCTGCTTCCTCTGTGTTTCTGTTCAAGAAAAAGATTGGCAGCTTTGGTACCCTTAAGAAGTAGAAAGGGAAAGTGACAAAATTGTCAGTCTCACTAAAGATGAACATTTTTAAGATAAGGCATGGCTTCCTGGCCATTCAGGTGCAGTCAGAGAAGGACTTACTATCCCTGTTTCCAACATGTGTTCTGGATTAGGAAACTAAGCATACAATTCATAGTCTTTTTAGAACTTCTATTTCAAATGACTTGACAGCTGATCTTTTCTTTTTTAGTTGTTTTACAGTCAGATTCATCATTTACACGTCAGGAGAACTTGTGTCTCATATATGAAGGAAAATCAACAAGTTTTTGAGTCTGTAAGTAGAATATATACCCTTGAGAGAGTTGTTGGTAATGCACATAATTAAGTGGGCAAAACTAATTTTTAGCAACTACATAAAACTGAAGAAGTTCTATCATAACTTCTCTTTTCTCAAAGCAAATATTTAATTCCTAACTGACTTCCTGCTAGCTAGCATGCTTTTGTACCTCCTCCCCAAATTAAGTTGCTTTGTACTTTGAGTAATTAAAAGCCTGGTATCACATGCCTGTAGTCCATTTCTGGTCTCTAATCCCAGAACTCTGATGCTGAATCAGAAGAATAATGAATTCCAGGCCAGGCTGAGGTATCTTGGGAGATCGTTTTAAAAGTAAGAATAATTAAAAGCCGGGCATAGTGGCATATGCCTTTAATCCTAGCACTTGGGAGGCAGAGGCAGGCGGATTTCTGTGAGTTCAACGCCAGCCTGGTCTACATAGTGAGTTCCAGGACAGTTGGGGCTACAGGGAGACCCTGTCTCAAAAAGACCAAATAATAATAACAATAATAAAGAAATAACAATCTGGTTCTTCCACTTCTTTCTCTATAAACAACCCCAAAATTCCAAGTCCTAAAATATTTACATTTTCAGTACTGTTTGGGGTTACCCATACCACTGTTTTCTTGAACAATTCATAAAAGGTGTAACTCTAGATATTTTAAAATGTACATTTTAGTCTATACTTCGTAATCCTCAGCCAATTTGAAGAGTGTTGTAAAACTTAATTGTAAGGAAACGTCTGTTAGTCGTAATATCTTTCTTTTGAAAAAAAGGAAAATTGTAATAGTCGAAGCGGTACCCACTAATAGTTGACTTTAAGAACAGTGTTTAGAGGACATCTTTGTACATATGCAGTTTGAGTTGTTAGAGAAACAAAGTTGTACCAAGGTCTGATTTGAAGTGTACCCCCCCCCCTTTTTTTTTTTTAACTACTTGATGCTTTTCACTGTATGGGTAATTACCTGCCTGCTTTTGGAGGTTTATTCTTAATTTTATCAACAGGTTTTAGTGAATTTTAAAATACTGTAAAAGCTTGTTACCTTGAAGTTGATTATAGTCTTTTCCACACCTGGGGAAAGCACTAGTTCCTGACACTGAAATGCAAGACTATGGTGTAAAGCAGCATATCTCAAGTATTTTGTGCTTATATATAACATGGGGATCTTGTGAAACTACAGATTTTGACTCAGTAGGTCTGAACTAAGGTCTGAGATGTTTGCATTTCTAAGAAACTTCAAGCCATTTGTGCTGTTGATTCCTAGACCACATTTTGAGTAACGAAGATGTATAAGATTTTAAAAGTACTGGATGAATATCAGACATACTGTTAGAAGCCTGATCTCTCTTCCCCCTAAAAGAGTTTATGCTGTGTAGTTACTTTTTTAGAGAAAATGCAAGGAAAAATACCAACCAGTCTTAAATGAGGCCACAAGGATGCTTGTGAGGGCGATAGATACTTTCAATTGTAATAGTAATTTCTTGGTCAAAATTTGCGCTATTATGTGTTTGTTGCATGTCAATTATTTTTCAAAGCTTTAGAAAATAAAGTGAGTTTAATCCAGTTTCATTTTTACTGAGATGTGTATTCTACATACAATAAGATTTGTCATTTTAAGATTAACATTTTTAGTTTTGGCCAAGATAGAAGTTATTGAAACTGCTGTTGATAATCTGGGTGCATTATATCCACTACCCCAAAAGTTACTTAGGCCCAGGCCTTTTATCTTTTCTTTTTAAATCTTATTATTTTTATTTTATGTATATGAGTATATTGCCTGCATGTAGGTAAGTACACCTGTGTTGCAGTGGCCGTGGAGGACAGAAAAGGCCATCAGATCCCCTGGAACTGGAGTTACAGATAGTTGTTAGCTGCCATGTGGGTTCTGGGATTCGAACCCAGGTCTTCTGCAAGAACAACCAGTGTTCTTAACCACCGAGCCATCTCTCCAGCCCTGGCCCAGGACTTTTTTGAGATCAGTGAAATTCTCTTTATAAAGTTCCTTAGTTTAATTTTCTAAACGTTTCCTGCCAAACTTTGAATCCTTATAATTGTTGACCTTGCTTCATTTATTAAAATTGTCAGGTTACTTGAGTTGACATTTCAAAAGAAACCTTTGAACATATCATTTGATGATGTGCACTGATATGTAGATAAACAAAGACCCGCTCCTGAAGTACTTTTCTCCACTTGTAACTTTGGTGTATGTGCCAGTCTTCTTGAGGTGCTGTGCGAACTAGTAATTTGACACTAATTATTAAGATGAACAAAATACTTACTAGAAGGTATACTGCAGAATATCAGAGTTCAGTAATGCTGTATATTTGGTTAAATCAAGTTTGTGTATTTTTGAAGTATGTGGAAGGATCTTTTGAGAAGTACCTGGAACGGTTGGAAGATCCCAAGGTAAGATAAAATATGAGAATATTATCTTTTTTCAGAACTATTTGGAATAGTAACCTAAACATTTTTCTGTGTTGCTATAACTAGTCACAAAATGTTAAGTAGACAACTGTGTGGATTGAAACAGTTATTGTGAAAGAGGCAATGGCCTGTTTTGTATTGAATATGAAGAACTGGGTTAACCATCTTGTCTGTAGACTACTGAGCGTACACTGCTTGGGAAAAGGACCATGTTGAGAAACATTAAAGCTTTTTCACTTTCATGGGAAAGAACGTTAATGTTACTGAAGGTTTATTATTTTTTGAAACAATTCACCTGATTTGTATAATGTGGGAGTTAAAAGTCATAACCATTATTTAGAAATATTTACTTGATAAAATTAATTCTGTTGCTGTGCTTAAATTGACATTTTGTTACATACACTGCTACCTTTATATTTTATAGCAGTTACATTTTATGACCTTTAAATTTCTCGTAGTGTGTTGTTATTACCTAACGGGCAAGAGGAGCTTTGCTTTGAGATAAGTTTATGTTACTGAGTAGCTATCATAATACTCTGATACTCAGAACAAATTACAGTATGTTACACAAATTAGAGTATATTATACAAATACTTCATCTGACCCATTAAATAACCTAAAAGTGTTGAACTTGTAAACAATTTTGACTTCATAGTTAAAAAATGCTTTAAAAAACTGCACTATTTGTTTAGGAGAGTGCTGGCCAGCTGGAACTAAGAGCTCTTTCTCTAATTTATAAGTAAGTTATATCAGAGGGCAGGGGGAGAAAGGAGGGGGGAGAGAATGACAATGAATATATGAATATGAGAGAGTGAATCTGTATGTAAGACTTCTCTTAAAATTAAATTTGAGAGTTGATACATTAATAATGTGGAATGAGAAAAATCAATTTGCTATAGTTCCGGGGTGAAGGACTAATGCTCTCTTTCTGGCATTTGTGTCTTGAAAGGAAGAACAAAAGGAAGTCAAGTGTGCTTGGAGCATGCATATAAATGCCAGTGCTGAGGAAGGAGACTGAGGCAGGAGGATCTTGAGTTCACGGCTACCCTGGGCTCAATAACAATTCCCTGTCTCAAAATGCACAAACAAAAAGACTCAAAAAACTGAACTCCTAGTTTTTCCTGTAGGAAATCAGGATATTTACTTTTAAAATTTTTTCTGACTATTTAACATTGTGCTTATTTTCATACATTCTCAATGGGGCTGTATCACTTCCAATGTAGAAATTGGAGCCCCCCCCCAAAAAAAAAATCTTAGATACTCCCTTATATGGTCACAGTACATTTTTGTTATTAAAATTTCATGGGGAAATAAGGAAAGGTCTTAGAGTTCCTTAGAGGCCTTCTAAGTTAAAGCTATTTTATGTATACTAAATGATCTCTACCCATTTTTTGTTTTCTACCTGTGTAGTCGGGATTTCATTCTTTATCGCTATCCTGGAAAACCACCAACTCATGTCACAGATAATGGCTACGAAGACAAGGTAAGAAGATGAATGCTGACTAAAATAAAATTGAGGGATGCTTCTGGCTTACCAGAATATTAAGAAATGATCCTTTTAACTTAGTGAAACAATAAGCCTAGTCTAAATGACAGTATTCTATGCCAGAAGCCTTTTCCTCTCCAATCAGTTACCTCATCGTGGTTAGCTACCTCTCTAAGCAGATTGTTCATGCCACTCTTGTGTAATATGAAAAACCACAAAACCACATAATACCCTAAGTGACTCCTCACTGACCAGACGATTAACTTCACGTTCTGAAGCTATGTATTCAATGTCCAGTTTTATTCTTCCATCCTTAGTGTATATACCATGCTTCCTGCTTTTTATTTTCAGGATGTATGCATGTGCAAAACACATAGGTAAATTTAAATCTAGATTGTGCATATGAGGGAAAACAAACTTTGAGTCTTGCTTGTTATGCCTAACATAATCTTCAATTACATCCATTTTTCTGCACATGTGATGATTTCTTATGGCCTTATAAAACTTTCTGTATATGTGCCACATTTTCTTTATCCATTCATCTATTGGTGGACATCTAGACTGATTGCATTTCTTAGTTCTTCTGAATAGTGCAGCAGTGAACATGGATGTGCAAGTATCTCTGACATATTGACTTAGAAAAGCCTTTGGGAGTGATGCAGTTGTTTCATATAGTAGTTCCTTTACCTATTTTTCTTTTATGCATATGAGTCTTTTGCCTGCATATTTTCAAGTGTACTAGTATGATGCCATGCCTGTGGGGGGTCAGAAGAGGTTGGTGGATCCCTCTGGAACTGGTGTTACAGATGGTTAGTCAACATGTGGGTACTGGAAACTGAACCTGGGTTCTCTGCAAGAGCAGCAAGTGCTGTTCTTAAATGCTAAGCCATCTCTGCAGCCCCAGTAGTTCCATTCTTAGGTTTTTTTCCTTTACTTTTTTTCAAAAAAATTGAATTTTTCTATTTTTCAATCAATATGGGTTGATGGTATTTGGGAACTGCCACACTGACTTCGATAGTATTTATACCAGTTTACATTCCCACTTGTAATATATATGACTTTCCTCTTTCTTCCCCATTTTCATAGTATGTTTCCATGTGTTTTTTTTTTGTATTTTTAAATTATTTATTTAATAACCATATAATTAGAAGAAGCATTTCATTACAACAGCATTGACATATTCAGTAACAATTTCCAGAGCTAAGATGCATGTCTTTCAAAATTGGCTGTAAATTTTTAGGTTTACAGTTGAATTGATACAGTTATACAATATTGTACTCCGTATAACCCCTATAAGACATAAAATTAAATAAGGTTTATAAACTTTAAAAAAGATCTCAATTTCATTCAGTTTCATACAGAAAAACTCATTTTTAATGTAACTGAAACTACGATGCATATGTTTCTAATCTCTATATATCTGATTATTACTAGTCACAGTCACTTTCTGAGCTCCTTGGCATGTGAGCATGGATATAAAGTCATCAGGTAGATTTCAATGGTAATGTTTTTCACATCTACTAATTATTAAGGAGCAAATATTTATGCTTTGAAGAATTATTTTTTTTCCTGTTTATTTATACACCCACTTCCCAGGTAGGACCCTCCCATAGCCTCCCTCCCCCCACTTGAGCCCTTACACTCTGATACCCTGCTAGTGTCTGCTGTGTTGTTGGCACCCCCAGCCATTCCCCACTACTTGCCCTTCTGGTGAATCTCGTCAGCCTATCTAGAGGTCTTGTTTTAGAAGGGTCAGCTGTTCTTCATCTAGCGGTAATCAGTTCTCTATATTCTTTTCGATAAGATTGGGCTCTGCTGTTCATTTTCCCACTTCTATGCTTGGGTTACTATCTGGGAATCCCTTTGGCCACCCTGGCCATCAACTCAAAAGAAGGTATTGCTTGTCTGGCATTGTTGCTTGTTATGTAGCCTTTAGCTATACATATGGACTCTTATGAAATTATGTTGGCCCATTTAATCTTTGGTTATACTTTCCTTTTGGGTGTTTAAGGCCATACAGTTGGTCCAGATAAAACCGATTTATTTTCACTCTTAAGGTCATTTGAGGATCTGTTCCTCAGGGGTCACATGGGCTTGGGAGGAGCCCCTGGCTCCTCTTACCAGTTCCACCTATGTGAAGGTAAGTCAAAGGTCCTGCGATATCATGGTTGGCTTCGTTTGGAAGCATGGAGGAAATAATTCCTCTGTGTTGACCCTCCTTTTTATAGACTGGACACCGGTTCAAGTCCATCTGGTGGGGTCTCCTCGGCCACCTTGATCAAGAAGACAGGTGACTCACCACCATTATAGGACATTTTGAGAGATGCTCATAGTCCCCTAGAACTAGTCAACCTAGGAGGGCAAGGAGCAAAAAGTGTCGTTTATGTCCCCCTGACCAAATTATTATAGACTTCAAAGTATGTCTGTTAAACACCCAAGAAGGTTAGTTCCACCAGTCTGGTATTTTTAATTACTGTGTGTCATGTAGATATATCTTGGGCAAAGATCAATTCTCAGATAAACCTTTACCTAGACATATATTTCTTTATCTGCTATGTATAATTTTTCAGTAGGTTGTAGGAGTAATATGGTTCTCTCTGGTTTTTAAAACTAGCTAGGCATTGTTTATCTCTCACATTGTCTCACCCCGCCATCATGGTTTTCCGACTTAAGATGCCCCCATTTCCCCCCTTTCTCCCTTACTAATAAAACCCTTCTCCTATGGTCCTACCTCTCTTGAGCTCCATCTTTCCCTTTATCCCCTAGGTTCCTTGTATACCCTTCCCTCCCCCCTCCCTTAAACTAACACAATTTTTAATCCATATTTCCCTTATTAAGACCTGTTTCTTACTGTTCTTCTCTTTCAGGTTATTTCTTTTCCTTTTCCTCCCTGTTTACTTACCCTTGTCCTGGTTCCTGCAGTTATGTCTGTTTGCATACTTATTTATCAGAGTCTGCTTCTAGGATCCACATATGAGGGAGAACATATGTCGATTTTTTTTTCTGTGTTACTTCACTTAGTATAACAGTTTCTAGTTCCATCCATTTACCTGCGAATTTCATGATTTCATCTTTCTTTACTGCTGAGTAAAACTTCATCATATAAATGAACCACATTTTGATTACCCACTCATCAATTGGGGGACACTTATGTTGCTTCCACCATCTCTTAGCTATTGCGAAAAGAGTAGCAACAAACATGGATGTACATGTGTCTCTGCAACAGGATGAGTTCTTTGGGTATATGCCAAGAAGTGGTATAACTGGGTCAAATGGTAGGTTTATTTGTAGTTTTTTCCATAGTGCTTTCCACTGCTTTCCATGGGGGTTGAACAAGCTTGCAGTCCCACCAGCAGTGGATGAGCATTCCCCTTTCCACACATCCTCTCCAACATTTGATATCATTTGTTCTCTTGAGTTAGCCAGTCTGACTAGGGTAAGATGAAATCTTAAAGTGGTTTTAATTTGCATTTCCCTAATTACTAGAGATGTTGAACACCTTTTAAGATTCTTCTTAGCTACCTTTATTTCTTCTTTAGAGAACTCTCTGTTCAGCTCCTGAGCCCATCTTTTTATTGGGTTCCTTCCTTTCTTGGTACTTTGTTTTTGAGTTTGTTATAGATTCTGGGTGATAAACCTCTGATGGACATGTCACTGGTGAAGATTTTCTCCCATTCTGTGGGTTTTCTCTTCACTTCCTTGGTTGCTTCTTTGATGTGCAGAAGCTTTTTAGTTTAATGAGGTCCCATTTTTTGATGCTTGACCTTGTTTCCTGGGCAGTTGATGTCTGGTTTAGAAAATCCTTTCCTACACCTATATCTTGTAGGTTATTGCCAATGTTTTCTTCT